ATGCCACGTCATGACTCGCACATATGGAATTCCTGTCACTTCAATAACTCATGATTGAATTCAAACTTTACCTATTTTGTGTGAACGTGTATTTTTATGCACTTTCATACATTATAGTAAAGTTGTACCCCGAAACTTGTGCTGCAATTCACAATTGAGGAAAATATAAACCCCAATCTGAGACTACTTGAAATCTAAGATTTTGTGCTGCGATTGCCCAGCCATAATGTATCAAACTCTAATCAAGGTAGTTATACACTTTATTACAGGACCCCCAGAGTTTCTGTGGACTTCCTCAGTGTTAGTTGCAACCAGCAGTTTTCATTTTTTATTGTTCTTTACCTGCAGATTAGGTTTTGATTGGAGGGTAGTTTTCCCAGTCATGAGTCCTATTTCCTTACCTTAGTGTTGTGGTCACTAGGTAGATGTATACCAAAGTATTGTTGCATAACATAGATTTTCCCCGTTGCAAGCAGTTTGCCAATTGTGTGACTGTAAAACTATCATTTAGCTTGTCTATAAAACATAAATTCCTACCCCTAAACACTCCTAGACTTGTATTTTAAAATCGTAATACTGTGAAATACATTCTGTACATGGCTTTCTAATGCTCCTTCTATACATATATAGCTGGTGCTGGTAGGGGGCCTAAACAAAGGAAAGAATTCCACGGTTGCTGAGTAGGCTTTCTGGCCAACTAGCACTAACCCAGGGGTTCAACAATTGAATTTTGCAGTCTTTATTTTAAATTTTAGATATTTTGATAGACTAGATGAGTTAATTGAACTTGTGTATTTACCAACAGTTAAGCATAATGGAAACTTGACCCTGGACCAGATGATTGACATTGCCCGCACAATGAGACCACGTTCCCAGGCAAAGGCCCTCTCAGGTACTCTGAAGGAGGTTCTGGGAAGTGCACAGGTATGCATCTTGTATCTAAGGTTGTTAACTTCTGCAACATATCTGAACTATCAAACTATAGAAGTATAGAAGTTTTAATGTTCTTTGTTGGAAATAACCATCCTTTCTAATCCAAGTTATTAACTAAATTTTACAGAGTGTTGGGTGCACAGTCGAGGGACAGAACCCCCATGACATCATTGAGGGTATTAACGATGGCAGCGTCGAAGTCCCTGAAGAGTAAGCTGTGGCATTACCCAGCCAGCCAACACACCTTATCCCTGGGAGAAGAATACACAAAGAGACCAGGATTCTCTGACCAAGAATGCATTTGTTTGGGATTGCACATTCCCCTTTGCTCTCATTCCATATTGTGTGAAAATCTCATGGGTAATAAAGTGTGAAGGTGACCTTGCTTTTGTTATCCTCTTGTTGGACTTTTCTGAGGCTCTTCTGTATTCATTTTCATATCACAATGATGGAACCAAATTTGCTTGCAGAAGACTTGCCAAATGTTACTCATTAAGGCCAAAAATAAACTCGTTTGTTCTTGATACATTAAGATTCAAAGCCAGTTAAGTTCTAAAATATATGTAACATACACAAGTGGAATTGCCATTTTTGTGCATACTTAGGTGGGATTCATTGCTATGTAGCAACTAAATGTTTAAAGTTTAATACTCCTGTATGGGGATGGCATTCAGAAAACCTGTAGATGCCATTACCCCTGAATTTAGTTTCTCTATACAGATGGCTCCAATTACCAAGTCACCAATGAGCAAATTACTAGTTATAACCATTTTACCAGATCAACAAAAATAGGTAAATAGGCATATTGTATTGCTGCTGTTAACCTTTTACAGGCCCTTGGTAAATTTTGAATTTTGAAGTTACACTAGTAAAAAGAATTCCAGTAAGGTGAAATTGGGCAAGGACAGGTCTGTTAATTGGCTTTTTTGTGGCTAAGCACTTGTGGAGCCATCTGTGTTGCAGACACTTTGCAAAACACAATCCATGTTTCTGGGGAAAATATAAAATTCTCAAGGGTAGTGTATCAATTAGTTTGTTCTTGCAGGAAAAATCTTGATGCATATATATTGCCATGGATAGTAAACCGAGTCATCCCATAAGTTTTATTGGTTTCTTTCAGTGGAGGAACTGCAGGAAATAAGGTTTTAATCAAGCATAATATCATTGGATAATTCTATTTACTGTTGGAGCATTTACTAAGATCAGAATTATGTTGGCAAAACAATGGTACAAGAATATAAAAAAATAAATAAATGAAGCTTGGAGAAAATGTAACCAATAACCTTTTAGCTATGCTGTAAACCCTTTTTCATACTGGGCATGGGTGATAAGATAGATAAATTGATAACTTGACAGAACAGGAATTTCACTGGTTGCCCATCAAAGTTGCATGTCCTCAGGCCTTATGCTGATTCCAATGTTTCTTTACTATTCAAATTTGGTAGACTCCCTTTGTGCTCTAGATGTCTGCTGTGAGAAGATCCTTATAACTTTCTTCTCTAAAAATTGTTGCCCTGCAAATGAAAAAGTTACCTTAGCTCACTTTTCTTTGTTTTTTTGTTTTATTTTATAAACATTGCAAAAGAAAAATGCTCAGATTTGAATATCAATCTTTTATACCTCATACCTTCTTTCCTGTCATGATTTAGTTCAGTATACGGTTGAAGGATCACAGATTCAGCAACAAAAGATTGTCCATTGCTCTGCCTAGAGTGCAGGAGGCTGTCTCGAAGTTGCTCCATTTCAGCAGCTACTTCACAAAGAATATTTGGATCTTGGCACACTCCTGACAGACTCTCAACTTCTCTTGCCAAACTCTGCACCTTTTTCATCATACTGTGAAGCTGTAATTATTGAATGTGCCATTATGCATTTTTTTTTTTTTTTTTTACATGCTAGTGATTTGATTCAATTAATATGAAAAAACTACACAACATACATAATTGTAAGATTTTTAACATACATAGTTAGGTTTATAATCTTCACAGGTTTGCTGCCACTGTTGCTCCTTTGGCTCTTCAAGTAAGCTGACTGCTTGGTGATCCCTTGAGAATAAGTGTATACAGGATTGAGTTGACAATGGCAATTATATATTTTAGGAAATTAACTAAACCACTTTCAGTCATAAGGAATACTAAGTGCATGTATTATTTAACATTACACAGGAAGATTATTCAAGACAAGCTAGATTAGAAAATAATAAATAAAAATAGTGGATAATACTCAAACTGAATGTAATATTTACCATTATTTGCAAGAGTTTCTAACCATCAAGAAAATTGCAGTTAATGAAGTACTGGGCAGAAGTAATGTTACTTTTAATATTTTTTTGAAAAAGTAAATGAGAACAAAAAGGTATAGAACATGTAAAAGTCCTCAATACCCCTCCCATCCCTTGCTCATTCTTGTCGTGGGGAAGGGGGGGGGGGTGATGGGGACTGAGGCCCAATGTGGGGGACCACCTCTACCTTGGTTCTTAGCCCATGCCTCAACTAATTTTGCAGGGTCTTTTGGTCTCCTTTCCTTTTCCTTCTCTTCTCCATTCCCTTGTTCTGTCCACTTGTCCTAATCAATAATCTGATTTTTGCCCTTTTTACCACAATACATTATCATAATGCTCCTGAACTCCTTCCCCTTCTAACAACCTTTACCTTATGTTGTACCCCATCAGATCCCCCTCTCTACCCTTTTCACTACCATACTACTCTCTAGTATTGTTCAGTCTGAAACCCTTTACACAACTCTACCATAGTGCCATACAACCTTTGATGTTCTTTAGCACTTTCTTACCAGTGGGCTTTACCCCCAAGCCTCATGTTATCACTATATTTTGAAAACACAGCTAATTTCCAGGAAATAAAATGAAAATGGGCCTCTGTCCCTGCCTCCTGATGTTGGGGACAATTACCCCTACATTGGTCCTCAGCCCTCCCTCAAGTAATTTTGCATGATCTTTTCCTCTCCATCTCTCCTTTTCCTTTTCTTCATTCCCCTTGCTCTGTCGATTTATCTAACAAACTTTACCTTATACAGTTCCCCTTCTCTACCCTTTTCACTACCATACCACTCTATAGTACTGTTCACCCCATAACTTAACCCTAATCATTAACTTGTTCCTAACCTTTTTCACTACTCTAATTTACCAAATAACCAAATAACCTTTGATCTCATATAACACTTCCCTACCTAGGGGCTTTGCCTCCAAGCCTCATGCTATCACTATATTTTGAATATGCTGCTAATGACCTTAGGTGTTGATGAAAAATTTCAGTGAGTAAATAAATACAGGACAAGCTAAATAAAAAAATATATAGATATTACTCAGTGGTACCTTTAGTAGCACTACCCAGCTGTCACATTTGTATACTTCTTGGTACATAGAGTTATAAGTGAAAGAGTCTAATCAGATTAGTTTTGGGAAGTACTTACCAACTCATATGTGGAATACATGAAAAAGGTGGGAAAGAAGGCTGGGAAAAGAGAACTTTGGATAATAAAATTAAATGGTGTGGCATACCCATACACCTTACTGCTGTATGTAACTTTTCATAAACAACCTGCTTTACTAAGTACAAAAAATGAATGATTGGTGCAATTCCCTCACCTCTGTCTCATTGTGGCCAGCATCATATGATTACGTATCTGCTTGAGGGTTGGCCAGTACCTTGTGTTGTTCTTGGATGGCAGCTCCTTACCCTTGAAGAGAAGTTCACTGGACTGGAGATGTTCTTCAAGGAGTTTCTTCATTTCTTTGGTGTTTGATATACCTTCCTCAGTCACTTTCTTCTGAATAAAAGCTGATAAATCTCTATCAATAGGGAGAGATGAGTCTGCTTGCTGTGTAAAAAAGTGAAAAGTCTATAAATGGTTATTAGCAAAATGTATAGAATCAACTAAAAAATATGTGTTATATAAATACAATGTAATCTTAATTACCCAGTTTGTGCAATGCAAAAATTACCTAATTATATTTAATTTTATCTTTCATATTTCACCTTTCATATTTATACATAAAATAAAATTGCCTTTCTCTCTTGTCCACTTTCATATGAAAGAAAAATACATAAATTTACTATTTTTTCACCTTCACATGACATTCATTCCCACAGTCCACCTCACCTCTCCAACTGCATGAGTGGTATGACTCTGTGGAAGCTGGACATGAAACTGGTGTTCTTTCACAATATCTTCTCTTCTCTTGAAATCAAGCTGCAGTGTGGTGGTGACAGCATGGCGGTGTCCTATGTCTTCTACTGCTTCTGGACACTGACACAATTAGGTTTCTTTCAGTGAGATTTCATAGGTTTTAATGTGTGTATCATGATATATGGTTAGATACAAATATGGTATGTATGTTATAAAGATAATTTCAATATTTTATAGACAACAATTAAATTTAATGACAGTGCCAAAATTTCCTTCAATTTTGCTCCTTTATTAATGTACATCAAAATTAGTGAGTATATAGCTTCACTTAACAGAGCTATTTGTAAGTTCGTTTGAAAAAGTCCTACTAAAGTCTATTATCCAGCAAAACATTTCTGAAAATATTATAAGGAAATTGACTACAAAATCTCAAAGCTAAACATACCTCATATTCAGGAAACTTTATGATATGTCGAATGTATATTTTAGCAGGACAGTTAAGCTTTTTTGATGCTTTGACACTATGCCATTCTCTTTCTGTGTAATCATGTTCTTTATCTAAGTAGTTCTCAAAATCCTGAAAGAAGTAAATGACTACAGTTTTTATAACAATATCAGAGACTCAATATATCTTTCCACAGCTAAAAATATATATCAGCATATTCTTCTTAGTTCAATATAAATCTGCAGAAAAAAAATTAATATGGCAAACAAAGTGACACCTTTTGCTGGTTTGCTGCAGCTCGAATATGCTTTCTCTTCTTGTCTCTATCAGGCCCCTGGTGGCAGTCTAAGGTGCGTGTTCCCATAATAATGAAAGGTATTCCATCACAGAGCAAGTGAGGGCGTGCATTGTCTTGTGTGTCTTGCCAGTGGATGCTTCCCCCTATTCTCTGCAGCTCTAAAAAGTTCTCTCACTTAACTGATACACTTTTTTATGTTCATTTACATATATATGTTTATCTTGTATATGTGTATAGGCCTCTATACATGTATGTCCAGATGTATGTGTACATTTATGTATGTATCTGGTGGTATGTTTTATATATGGTCAGTATTTGAGTATTTGCAAAATTATATATGTAGAACAAAGGAAAGAATTTTTTTTAAGATCTAAACTAATATATAAGCCACTTCCATAACTGAAAAATATAAATAACAAAACCTCATACCTGGTTCCTTCCCAAAATTTCTCTTTGTTCTCTGTACAATAAAGTATGCATGGGTACATATT